CTAATAAATGACAAAGAAAAAGATGAGTGAATAATGGACAAGTAAAAGGAAGAATGGACGAGTAATTTTATCTTTATTTTCCTAGGCTGCCGAGTGTGCAGGGAAGCTGTTTCTGTTCCACACATCCTTGCCCATTGCAGAGGCCCCAGGGAAGCTGAAGAATAGAGATGACAGGAAGTTGATCAACACAGAGAAGGAGAAGGTATTGGACTCGAGAGGGAGAGAGGCTTCTTATTACAGAGAAAGATGGCCACTTTCCATTGTCAACTCTTCCATGTTAGCCAGCTGGATTGGGATTACACTCTGCCCTGTCACGTGTCCCACCTGTAAATTTTTGGTAGATTTGACTTTTTCTCTTTTTCATTTTTGCTTTATTGAGATTTGGTCTAGCTATGTGGCCTAGGCTGATCTTGAACTCACTTTGTAGCCCAGGCTGGCTCCATACTTGTAGTGATCTTTGATGGGAGATGTCATTCATGTTTCTCGTATTGGTTATAATGAATAAAGCACTGTTGGTCAATAGGAAAGCAAGATAGGCGGGACTAGAAGACAAGGAGGAGAGAGGAAGTAGTGAGGAGTCAAGATGTAGAGACTGGAGAGAACAAAGGTCCAGGCCCTCTCTCTGGTAAGATGAGATTACGTGGAAATACTTAGATTAATAGAAATAGGTTAATATTTAAGAAAGAGCCAGCAGATAAGAAACTAGTAACTGGCCTATAGCTTTATAGTTAATACAATGCCTCAGTGTGTTATTTGGCGCTGGTGTGGTGGTAGGACCAGACTGGCAGGGAAAAACTACTCATAACAGATCTTATCTCTTATAGGTGTGCTTGAACACAAGCTGCACCTTTTCTGTTTCTCTTTCCTTCCCTCACGCCTTCCTTTTCCTTCTAACTTTGATCTACTGCTGGAATTACAAGGTGGTGGTGGGTCTGAAGTCATGAAGGATGAGTTTTTCTTTTACATACGACATTTCTTCTGTTTCCCTCCAGACTCTGTTCCAGCCTCAGACAGGTACCTACCAGACTCTGGCCAAAGACTGTGTGGCCCAAGGCTGCTGTGTGGACCTCTTCCTCTTCCCTAACCAATATGTAGATATGGCCACACTCTCTGTTGTTCCCCAGCTCACTGGAGGCTCTGTCTACAAATATGCCTGCTTTCAGGTATAGAATTCTGGGTGTAGAAATATTTGCTTATATGTGGAGTGGCTCTTTAGCTACTGACTTATTAGTGGTAGGTGAAGTTGAGCCCAGAGTATAATGGTTAGGTACATGGTCTTCAAGTCAGTCCTGGGTTGATGTTGAAGCCCTCTCACTTATTGGCATAGGATAATCATTTACTCATCTTTTCCCCTTTCATCTTCAAAGTAGAGTTTACTAATTAGGATTTGTCTACAGAATTAAACAATTATATATAAAATATTCTGTGTGCTACCTGATATGTCATGAATGTATAAATGCTTCATTGTCATTGTCATCCTTATTTTCACTGTTACTATGATGAAGCATGCTTGTAGAGTGGAAGGGATATGGGGAGACTGACTGTAGGGTGAGCTATGTGGTCAATGATGTGACTCTGGGCCTGGGCTGCAGGTGGAGAATGACCAGGAACGGTTCTTGAGTGATCTGCGTCGGGATGTACAGAAGGTGGTTGGCTTTGATGCTGTGATGCGGGTTCGGACAAGTACTGGTGAGTTTTGCTTGAGGCTAAATCTGTTTGATGCACCTATGCCATCTTTAGCCCTGACCTATCCCTGTGGCCTCAGGTATCCGTGCTGTAGATTTCTTTGGAGCTTTCTACATGAGCAATACAACAGATGTGGAGTTGGCTGGACTAGATGAGGATAAGACAGTGACTGTGGAATTCAAGCATGATGATCGGCTCAATGAAGAGAGTGGAGCTCTACTGCAGGTGGCAGGCGGGAGACGGGGACAGGGAATGGAAGTGCTGGAGGCATTCACAGAAGAGATGATAAGGGGTGGGTGAATTTTGAGGGAGGGGTGTGAGTTCCCCCTTTCTCCCTTCCCCTAGTGTGCCCTGCTTTATACCAGCTGTGCAGGGCAGCGTCGGCTCCGCATCCACAACCTGGCCCTAAACTGCTGCACCCAGTTGGCTGATCTGTATCGAAACTGTGAGACTGACACACTCATCAACTACATGGCCAAGTTTGGTGAGGGTAGAAGCAGGGCAGGGTGGGATAGGGGATGAGAGAAAGGTCCAGGATGGTTAACCATTCAGTACTCTTGAGTAGGTGTGATGGTGGGAAGATGCATGTGAAAGGAAGCTGACCAGTGACTGCTCTCTCTCCCATATAGCATATCGGGGTGTTCTTAATAGCCCTGTGAAGACTGTACGTGACACTCTTATCACCCAGTGTGCCCAGATCCTGGCCTGCTATAGAAAGAACTGTGCCAGCCCATCTTCTGCAGGGCAGGTAGGGGCAAGGGTGCTAGCAGAGGGGTTGTTTCAACAAAATTTTGCATGTTAGAGGGATTTCCCATGATCATTGTCTTTACTTCCATAAATCCCTCAGTTGATCCTTCCTGAGTGTATGAAGCTACTCCCAGTTTACCTGAACTGTGTGTTGAAGAGTGATGTTCTGCAGCCTGGAGCTGAGGTCACTACTGATGACCGTGCCTATGTTCGACAGCTGGTTTCCTCCATGGATGTGGCTGAGACCAATGTCTTCTTCTACCCTCGGCTCCTACCACTGGTGCGATTAAAGATTGGAGTGTGAGGCATTGTACTGAGGACAGGGCCTCTAAGAAGGAAGGGATGGGATTACTTTATTGCTGACACTACAGGATTTGTCTTTATGTACATTCACATTGCTATCTGGAGACTTAGCTTTCTGAGTTTATGTATATAAAGGAGTGTCTTGTAGTTCTAGGTGACTTTTTTGCCTTTTTGTCTAGACAAAGTCTCCCATCGACAGTACCTCTGAACCACCAGCAGTTCGAGCGTCTGAAGAACGTTTAAGCTGTGGCGATATATATTTGTTGGAAAATGGGCTCAACCTCTTTGTCTGGGTGGGAGCAAGTGTCCAACAAGGTGTTGTCCAGAGCCTTTTCAACGTCTCCTCCTTCAGTCAGATCACCAGTGGCTTGGTGAGAACAGGGTGTCAAGGATAATATGGGTATGGAAAAACACTTTGGTGACTTGATTGTGGGTCAATGAAGTCATTAGAGAACACTTGGGGTAAGGGAAGATGCTGTTAGTTTCTTAGGTTTCCTCATTTCAGATGATATCTAAATCTGTATTGCTCCCTCTTGATAGACTTAAAAGTACTTTATCATAGTAATGAATGACATTTTGTTCCAGAGTGTTCTGCCAGTTCTGGATAATCCACTGTCCAAGAAGGTTCGAGGCCTCATTGATAGCTTACGGGCACAGAGAATGCGGTACATGAAGGTAAAAATAGATCTTGTTTATTTTGTGGTGGTAGTGGTGCTGGATATTGAACCCTAGGCCTTCTGTATGCCAGGCAAACACTCTCATTGAGCAACATCTCAGCACAGCAACACAGATTTTTCTTTTTACCATGTCAAGGCAGCAAGAAGGAGCATGGGGAGGGATAGTCTTAAGTACTTCATTACCATTGACCTTTCCTCACAACCTGCCTTCTGGCTGTAGCTTATTGTGGTGAAACAGGAAGACAAGCTGGAGATGCTGTTCAAGCACTTCCTGGTAGAAGACAAGAGCCTAAGTGGAGGTGCATCCTATGTGGACTTTCTCTGTCATATGCACAAGGAGATTCGGCAGCTACTGAGCTAAAGCAAGTGGGTAAATGGTATAGTGTCCCAGGCCAGCTTCCAGAAAGCACCAGGATGGCAGAGAAATTGGGACAGTTCCCTATCTTATGAGTCATGTAAGCTGACCTCAGTCTTTTTGGTGGGGGGAGGGCAAGGTACAAGGAGACACCTTTCTGGGCTCAAATATCCTCTACCACTGTCATGTCCTGCTGATGGAAGGTGTCCCTGTCCCCCTACTCTACCCTCTTTCTCCTCCTAATCCTGTTGTAATGAATGTAGTTTATCAGTTCACTGTATATGATCTAGTGTTGGGGGTTTGGAGGCAGCGAGGCCCTGGCAATACTGAGTCCCTTTGGACCAGCCTCCAAGAGGAAAGGGGCAGGCAGGAAGGAGTGGGAACCCCAGGGTTATTACAGGAGGTGGCAAATTCAGCTCCGTGTCATCAACAACTTCCTATATTAGGGATCAAATATACAGGTGCACAAGTGCTGGAGTACAGACTGTAGGTGGTGGAGAGTAAAGTAGTTGGGGGCTTTGTGGTCAGTAGCAAAACTATAGTTACTGAGGATGGATGACAAGTTGTCTCTCTACTTCCATTGTGCGTGCTCTCTCTCCCCTGTTATGATTGGTGAGCACTTCGTGGACAGAAACACATAGCTAGAGATGAGTGAGCCTGGTGACTGAACTGCAAAGCATATTAATACCTAGGGGAGGTAGCAGCCTTCTTTCCAGCCGGAGAGGCCCCAATACTGGATGGTTCTGTAGAGAGCCTGGTGGTCAACTTGCAATACCTCAGAGCCAGCCCACATCCCACTCAGCTCCTACCAGAAACACAGCTTAAGCCCGGCGTTGTTGGGGAGAGGCAGAGAGGGCTGGAGCCCTCCCTGTCTTCCTGTGCCTGGATGTTACTGGGCTTCTGTATTGACTGGGTGGCTGACAGTTACCTTCCAACTCCAATTGGCTGGGGCAGGACAAGGGCTAGGATTGATGGTGGTTAGGCTTGCCTGCTCCCAGTCCGGGATGCCCCTGCTCTGGACCTTTCATTTCTTTTCATTGGTTTATTTTTCAATGCATCTTTAATTTGTAAAGAAATAAAATAAGATGTAACCAGTATCCTTATTTTTTTCCATTCGCGACCTCTCCCAGCCAGCCTGCAGCTGAGAGGAGCCGCGCATGCGCTGCGTGCCCCTCCCCCTCTACCCCCCCCTTAACGTAGGACCCGGTCCGCTCTCCACTCGCCGCCGCAGGGCGTGGTCTCGTGCTCTTCGTGCGGGTCTGCTGTGAACATGGCTGTTTGCTGCACCGAGATGGTGCTGGCCGCTCTGGGGCTGTTCAGTGTCTGTGCGGCCAGCAGCTCCGGATCCGGGGCTTCGGGAAAGGAGGGTGGGGAAGCAGAGTGGATGGAGCCGTGGGACGGCACGGTTTTCCGGCCACCAGCTGCGCTAGGCGCCGTGGGAGTGGCGCGCGGGCCGGAATCTCCGTCGCCAGGGAGCACTGAGACGGCGGACCTACCGGTACTGCTGTGGTGGAGCCCAGGCCTGTTTCCACACTTTCCGAGCGACTCCGAGCGCATAGAGTGTGCCCTCGGTGCATGCGTGGCGTCCCGGGACCGGCGGGCGCGCGCCGACCCACGGACGCGCGCACTGCTCTTCTACGGCACGGACTTCCGTGCAGCCGACGCACCCCTGCCACGCTTGGCTCACCAGAGCTGGGCACTCCTGCACGAGGAATCGCCTCTCAACAATTTCTTGCTGAGCCACGGCCCTGGCATTCGCCTCTTCAACCTCACGTCTACCTTTAGCCGTCACTCGGACTACCCACTGCCGCTGCAATGGTTGCCCGGGGCTGCCTATTTGCTCCGGCCTGCGCCTCCGCTCCGAGAACGCGCCGAATGGCGTCGCCGCGGGTACGCGCCGCTGCTCTACTTGCAGTCCCACTGCGATGTGCCCGCGGACCGCGACCGCTACGTACGGGAGCTCATGCGCTACATTCCGGTGGGTGAGGGCGGCGTGGAGGGGAGAGGGTGGGCCGGGCGAACGCCGCACCCTGCTGACCGCCGTACTCTGCCTTGCTTAGGTGGATTCCTATGGCAAGTGCCTTCAGAACCGCGAGCTGCCCACTGTGCGGTTACAGGACACAGCCACAGCCACCACCGAGGATCCAGAACTCTTGGCCTTTTTGTCCCGCTATAAGTTCCACTTGGCCCTGGAAAATGCCATCTGCAGTGATTACATGACAGAAAAACTGTGGCGCCCTATGCATCTGGGTGCTGTGCCTGTGTATCGCGGTTCACCCTCTGTGAGGGACTGGATGCCCAATAACCACTCCCTCATCCTAATTGATGACTTCGAGTCCCCTCAAAAGCTGGCAGAATTTATTGACTTTCTGGACAAAAATGATGAAGAGTATATGAAATACTTGGCGTATAAGCAACCAGGGGGCATCACCAACCAGTTTCTTCTGGATAGCCTGGAGCACAGGGAGTGGGGAGTGAACGATCCTATGTTACCTAACTACCTCAATGGCTTCGAGTGTTTCGTCTGTGACCATGAACTGGCTCGGCTGGAAGCCGAGAAGGCACATATATCCTCTCCTGGGGACATTCCTGTCCCCGAGCCTCACATTGCCCAGCCCTCACACATGAACTGTCCGATGCCTACTCCTGGCTTTGGCAAAGTCGAAGAGATTCCTGAGAATGACAGGTAGGGGCTGATGGGATGTCCTGCAACTGTCACATCAAACTACTTGCTTTCTTAGGGTATAGGGGACTGGAAAAGATAATACAGGCTCACTTTGCTGTATGATGTCAGTAGTAGTTGGGGAGCTAAGTGTGGTAGACATGCTTGTAATCCCAAGTGCTGTATCGGGAGGTAATAGAGGATATACAGTGGGGCCAGGCTATAAGCTGAGTAAGTACCTTTCCTGTGGAGGCGGGGAATACATAGATGAATTTTGGCTGTGCTGGGGATTAAGCCCAGGGCCTTCTGCATGCCCAGTTACAACTCAGCCCAGCAAGAGCATTTTGAAAGGATTTTCCCTGCACAGTAATCAACCCGATTTACTAGAACTAGAGTCTCACTCCATAGCAGCCTGAGCTGACCTTACACTTACGGTGATCCTCCTGTCTCGGTCTCCCAAGTGCCATGAAAAGCATTTACACTTTTTCTGTGTGATGAAGTCAGGGCCTTGAGAATGGTTAGCAAGGGCTCTACCATTGAGCTACGCCCCTAGCTCTCCTTTTACTTCTTTATGCCCTGTTTTGTTCACTCTATACAGAATTGAAGGAATGCTTTCAATAGATGTGTAATTGGCAGTCAGTGTGGGGCAAAGGAAGTAAGTAGGAAGCAGAACATATACCTACATTGGGAAAACATTGAAACCACAAGCCACCACAATTACTTTGGAGAGGGTTACTAGAATAGCGTATAGAAAGTGACTTCAATAGTGGATGGCAGCAGAGGGGCTGCTTCCATGAGCTGCTGACACAGTAGGGTCCTCATTATGATATACTAGAAGAAAACAAACAAAAAACCATTAAGAAAATAGCCAGGGATGGTAGTGAGCATTGTAATTCTAATGCCAAAGAGACAGGCAGGAGGATCAGGAATTCAAGATTGTAGTTGACCATGCGCCGTGAGTTTGAGGTGATCTTGAGCTATTTGAGACCCCTGTGTCCCGTGTCCACCAGCCTCCCCCCCAACAAAAGAAAATTTAGATTATGCCTTGCCTTTTTTCTTTCTCTCTCTCTCTCTCTTTTTTTGGGTTGGTTTTTTTCAAGACTTCTAACTCAGATATCCCCCTGCTTCTGCCTCCTAAGTGCTGGTATTAAAGGTGTGTGCCACTACCACCCAGCCCTGCTTAGGAGTTCTTTGCAACCACTCAAAAGGCAGAGCCTATTACCACCGTGGTTCCCTAATTCACTGCCCCTCTATTTTGTCTTTTCAGCTGGAAGGAAATGTGGCTACAGGATTATTGGCAAGGTCTCTATCAGGGGGAAGCTCTCACTGCCATGATCCACAACAATGAAACACAACAGAGGAAATTTTGGGATTACGTACATCAGATCTTCATGAAAAGAAATAAAAATCTCTAACTGCTCTTGCAAAAACCTTGAGCTTGGAAAATTTATGAAGACTGTTTTACTATGGCACCTAAGGCACATCCACTGTAACCTTTGTTGAATATTTTCTACCTTGATGTATTCACTGATTCTCCTGCCTTGTACTGGGGCTAGAACCTGAGGTTTTGAGAATGCTAGGCAAGTACTGCTAGCCCTCTCCATTGTACCTGAATGATATGGAGCAGTATCTCAGCCAGTGGTAATAGAGATTCTCCTTAAGGAAAGGCAGAAGCCAGAAGCACCCATTTGACTCAAGTATACTTTTCATGTCTATAGCCATTTCATCATTTTAAATATGGACAGGGGACAGAGTAGGTTAGGCTATGATCTAACAGGCCTGTTATATAGTACCTTTCTCAATTGTCTGTTTCTCATCTTGCTTTTCTTATCAGCTGTTATACTGGTAGGCAAACCTGGGGTGGGGATTGGGGCTGTTTTTTTTTTTTTTTTTTTTTTTTTTTTCCTTTCAATTTTTCTCTCTGTTTGAGATAATGTTACTACATGGCCCAAGCAAGCTGCCAATCCCTGGGCCCAAGTGACAATGCCAGACTCAGGCTCTAAGTAACTGGGACTACAGGTATACAACATTATGCCTAGCTCAAATTACTTTAAGAAATATTTGTGCCAAGTGGTGGTGGTACAAGCCTTTAGTCCCAGCATTTGGTAGTCAGAGGCAGTGGGATCTCTGTGAGTTTGAGACCAGCTTGGTCTACAAAAGCCTCCAAAAAAAAAAATGCACTGCCAGAGTTTCTTATTTGAAGTGGCTCTTTCTTTTTGGCTTTAGGCTGTTTCTCACAAACATTGGGAAGATCAACAAACATTTCCATCATTCTTATTGCTCGGTTTTCTTATGTAGAGTATACTTGGAATTCCTGCTCTCATGAACAGATTGAGTAGCTAATGTGACACTGATGTTAGTTCAGTATATTGCCCTATTACAGGGCCAGAAAGATCCATTCAGTCCACTACTCACATTGTTCCAGATAACTTTATGGTGCTGTGTCTCTGTGTTTTGTTTGAAAGCAAGCATTCAATCGAGTTATAGCTGCAACCGTAGCATTGCGATTTTTTTTTCTTTTATGAAGCCAGCCCAAGGCCCCCAATTCAAAGAGATTGAAGAAGGCAAGGAATTTAAGTTACCATAAATGGCTAGCTAAATAAAAACTTGAAATTTGGAGCTGGAGAGATGGCTCCATTGTTAAGAGCACTGGCTGCTCTTCCAGAGGGCCCAAGATTGATTCCTAGCACCCACACAGTAGCTCACATCTGTCTGTAACTCCAGTTCCAGGGGGATTTAATCCCTCTTCTTGCCTCTGTGGGCACCAGGCACAAATATGCTGCACAGACATACATGCAGGCAAAATGCCCATGTGTCCACAACAAATCTTTAGATTTGGAGATGCAGACCAACTATCCCCTGAGCAAGGGACAGATATTTTCTGGGGTAGTAAGAAAGAATGTCTTGGACCTTAGAGGTATGCTTATTATGTTAGTGAATTATCACTAAAGAAGTCTCATGGCTCATCAGTATTATAAACTACAGATATCTGAATCCATTATCTACACAGATACATATGCAGTTGGATGCTTTAGCAACCAGGCTTCATGGTTAATACTGTGTTATCTAATAATGTGACCAAGAAAAGCTTTAACATAGGTTGGAATTACATTTCTAACAGTTTTGTTCATTTTTGTGCCTGTATGTGTGTTGCTGAGATGGATCCCAGGCTAAGCATGTGCTCTGGCTGTCTCTGAGTTATATTCCCAGACCTTAATTTTTTTAGTTAAAAATGCCTTTATAGTAGCATGAAAATTATTTAACGTATTTGGTCACTTACACAGAACAAGAGGAAAAGATGTTTTAAAAAGTACATCAGAGATAGGTGGGTCTATGAGTGATAGACAAGTCTGGGCTACAATAGCAAGATTGTGTCTCAGGGGGAAAAAGTGGTATTATTTTTAGTTTCAGCATTCTAGTACTTTAGGAGGCAGAAGCAAGTGGATCTCTGTGAATCTGAAACCAGCCTGGTCTACTTAAGTGTTCCAGGCCAGCCAAATATATAGAGACCCTGTCCTGATAGATAGGTAATAGATAGACGCTAGTTCCTATAGCAAAATAACTATTATCCAAGTTCTAGATTAGAACTCCTATGTGCAACAAGGAAGGTAAGTGATGGTTATTCAAGTGCGCCAGTTGTTCATAAATGGTTGCTGTTGGTCAATAGGCTTGCTTTTTGCTCAGTGCTTCCCAGACTCTCCTTTATCTCTATCATTATGTAAACAACCATAAAAGACCAGTGTATAACAGGTGCTACATTTCTAAAAGGGAAAGAACTATGAATAACCATGGAGAAAACAAAATCTTTTTCCAGTTTGGGTCTCAGCTATACTGTATGCAGCACCAAGTATTTGCTGCCATAGGAGACTTTTATTTACTATAAGAATATGGGGTAGAACACAAGGCTGATAGCAAATGTTACTCTCTCTCTCTCTCTCTCTCTATATATATATATATATATATATGTGTGTGTGTGTGTATATATATATATACACACACACACATATACATATTTATCACCTCAGGTTTCATCTTATATAATAAACTTTTTACATAGTACCTTCTGTAGGGAGATATGCAACCTGCCTGCACCTGTTGCACTGACTACACCCTCTGGGGGCATGGAGACTGGTATGGGTATGATCTGGGGGGGACTAGGTCTGGGGTCCCAGACCCCTCCTCACTCTCTTACTTCCTGATCAAATACAGAGAGCATCCAGAGGCATCCTTGGAACTGGAATCTGCACTGGTCATCTGTTTCTGGTGATTTCTCCCTGAATAAACATCCATCAGCCTATCATCTCCCAGATTCTTATTTATCACACTTTAGCCTTGTGTTGTTTTTTTTTTTTCCTCACATTTGTTTATTTTGTGTATGTGTGTGACAGCTTGTTCTACCCTATACATATGTCAGAAGACAGTTTGCAAGAGTCAGTTTCTACGTGGTCCCAGGGACTGAACATGTATCTTCAGGCCTAGTGGCAGCACCTTTATTCACCCACTGAGTTATTTTTGCTGGCCTCTATTTGCTTGCTTTTGGGGGTTGGGGATGGTTAAAAATTATAAATATTGACTGAACAGTGTTCTGTCTGCATGTGTACCTGCACGCCAGAAGAGGGCACCAGATCCCATTACAAATAGCTGTAAGTCACCATGTGTTTGCTGGGAATTGAACTAAGGACCTCTGGAAGAGTAACCAGTGCTCTAAATCATTGAGCCATCTTTCCAGCCCCTCTTTTTCATTTTATTTTTTCATCTCCCCCCCCCTTTTTTTTTTGAGGCAGGGTCATGTTATGTGGCCCTGGCTTGCCTGGTACCCATTATGTAATATAAGCTGGCTTCAAACTCATGATCTGCCTCCTGCCTCAGCTTCCCAAGTACTTTGATTATATAGACACTGGGGATTCAGTAATGAAGAAGATACACAAAGGCACCTCTCATTTAAAAAAAAAAAATATTTAGAAGTATTTTTTTATAAAGGTCAGAAGAGGATATCCCCTGGAGCTGGAGGTACAGATGGTTGTGAGCCCTTCAAAGTGGTTGCTGGGAACCAAACTCTTGAGTCCTCTATAAGAGCTGGAAGCACTTTTTCTGTTGTTTGTTTTGGTTTTTGGTTTTTAGAGACAGGGTTTCTCTGTGTAGCACTAGATGTCCTGGAACTAGCTCCTGTAGACAGGCTGGCCTCAAACCCACAGAGATCCGACTGCCTCTGCCTCCAGAGTGCTGGGATTAAAGGACAGCTACCACCCAGCTGCTGAAAGCACTTTTAACAATAGAACGACCTTTCCAGCCCGTAGATGTTGGGGTAGATAAGGTCACAAACAAAATATTCAGACAGTGATGGGTGCTGGTTAGAGTGGCAAGAGAGGGAAAACTACCCTGAGGTGAACTGAGACTCAAGAAGAAAAGCCATTCCTGTAGGTTATTCAGGGAACATTCCAAACATCCGTGGTAAACAATTTCAATATGAATGTACCCATGCAGGTAGATCTTGCTCTAAAGTAAACATCTTATAAACTCCATGATTGTTGGGTTCCACTTCCATTACCAAAAATGTTTTGCGAGTTCATTTTAGTAATCTGTGGCACGTCTTTGGGACTCGGTTTTGTAAATAGGTAACAGTCAGACACTAAGTCTGACAAATCAACCACAACTGGAGGTCCGAATCTATAAATGTAATGATAGAAGTAAATGGGGAGGGAGGGATGGAAGGAGAGAGGGAGAGGGAACTGGGATCGATATGTAAAATAAAAATAAAAGAAGTAAATGTTAAATGTTATATATGTTATACATAAATTTTATTGCCCTCACCCTAAGGTGCGGTCATTCCAAAAGAGTAAACAGCATCCACACAGCAGTTGTTACATTTAGTAAAGCAAACAAGCCGAATTCTCCTTGAGGTTTTAGAATGGCTCTAAGAGTTGTAAAAATCAACCACTCTTACGGGTTTAAAAAAAACAAAAACAAAAACAAAAATCTTTTCCAACACAACAACCTTAACTCCAGCCCCTGGGGATCCGACGCCTTTCCTTGGTCTCCACCGACACAGCACTCACGTGGCAGCCACACATAGACACATACGCATGAGCAAGTGGCAGCCTCCCACACGGAGTCCATGAGTCTTTCCTGCTCCCGGAGCCCGCAAAGGGACGGCCTGGGACGGCGCACAACCGAGCAGCCTAACCTGAGCCGGACGAAGTTCGAACCGAGGAGGGTTGTGCGGCCAAGACAAGGAAAGTGCGTCCGTGGGCCGCACGCCAAGTGCGTAAAGGTCAAGAGGGGTCACGCACAGCACCGCAGAGCGTACTGGGAACGCTGTGCAAGATGGCGACACCCAGTTTGCGCTCCCGCCTGGCCCGTTTTACGAATCCGGGGAAGCCCGTCCTGAAACCCAACAAGCCTCTTATCCTAGCTAACCGCGTCGGGAACAGACGCCGAGAGAAGGGCGGTGAGCACTCGGGCGGGGGCAGTGGGTAGGCGCGCGGGAGAGGTGTGTGGTCGGCTCGTGACTGAAAGTCCTCCAGTTCTTTCCTTCCAGAGGCGACCTGTATCACGGAGATGTCGATGATGATGGCTTGCTGGAAGCAGAATGAGTTCCGTGACGAGGCGTGCAGAAAAGAGATCCAGGACTTCTTCGATTGTTCTTCCAGGGCTCAGGTGACAGGGTACCTTCTTGGGAACCGAAAGGGAAATACAAATGAATGGTTCGTAGTGCCTTGTGCTAAATTATGCAAAGAACCTCTCATTCATCTCACCCTCGCCAGAGTGAGGAAAGCTAACTTTTGACGATGGTTGGTCTTAAACTAACTTGATAGCCAGAATAATATCTTCGGATGATAATAGTCATTTGTAGGTTCCAAATCCCCTTTAAATTCCCCTTAAACCACCCTTTTGTCTCTTTGTTCTTTCTGCTGTATGTGTGTGTGTAAGTGCATGCTGTGTGGTGGCCCACGGTCTGCAATTTTCCTCCATCCCTCTTCCACTTTATTCTTTGAAGCAGGGTCTCTTGGGTTTGGAGTATTATAGAAATTATGGGTCTAGGCCATGGTATACTGAAGAACTGTTATTATTGTATATTTTTTTCTCATGTGTTTTCAGAAAGCTGGGAAGATGAAATCAATCCAGGAGACTCTGGAACAGTCTGAGAGTTTACCTCCCCACAAAATGACCAAGTTGTTACAGAGATTTCCCAACAAATCTCACCTCAGCTGAAAAATGTAGAAACATTTTCAATGAATTATCATCTCTGAATGGTATAGAGAGGCATGTTAGGGATGTTTGTGTTTGAACTACCATGCATTTTTGAAGGGTAAACTGAGACAAAACACTTGTTCTTGTGAATGATCATGTTCTAGATGCTATCTTCAAATAAAACCCTCCAAAAGAGAAATTGGCCATTTCTTCTTGTGAGATACTTCCTCCTCACACCCCACCCCCATCCTGCAGAAGAACCCCTTGGCCTTCCCAGCATTAGAGAAGCACCTAACCACTGAGCTGCCCCAACAGTCCCTCTCTTTAGCCCTATGCTTTCCTCTAGACTCTGGAAGGTCTTTGCCTCCTGATGGCTCTTCTTTCTTTCAAAACATTTTTTTGTTTGGTTTTCTGTTTTGTTTTTGTTTCATGAGATAGGGTTTCTCTGTGAAACAGTCCTGGCTGTCCTGGAACTCACTCTGTAGACCAGGCTGGCCTTGAACTCAGAGAACCTCCTGCCTCTGCCTCCCGAGTGCTGGGATTAATGGCAGACTTCACCACTGCCTAGCCCAAATATGTTCTTGTTGAACAACTATGGATGTCTTTTGTTGCCTTTCAAGTTCTTTATACCATTTAGTGCTTTTGCTTTTAGATACATAAGGGCTGGTGAAGTCCCTATGTATGCATAGCCTTTTTGCCATTGGCTGAATTCAGTGAGTGTATACTTCATGAATAGTTAGTTCAAAGTGCTTGCTGAAGAAAGTACATAAACATGACTCAGAGGCTCTGTAGATAATGTTTTGATTTGTACAATTAAGAATAGTATCTAGCGGGTGTTGGTGGTGTATGCCTTTGATCCCAGCACTCAGGAGGCACAGGCAGATGGATCTCTGTGAGTTCAAATCCAGCATGGTCTATGGAGCTAGTTCCGGGACAGGCTCCAAAGCAATACAGAGAAACCCCTGTAACAAAAGTAGGGGCTAGAGAGATGGCTCAATTCTTAGGATCCTTGCTACTTTTGCAGAGGACTGGCATTGGGTCCCACAGAAACCATTCTAGGTACCTCAGCTGCTTGTAACTGGCTCCAGAGGACCTGATATCCTATTTTGGTACTTTCAAATATACACGATAAAAAAAAAAAACTTGTATGGTGGTACATGCCTTTTATCCTGCCCTTAGAAGGCAGGCAGGCCAATCTCTGAGCAAGGCCATAAAGAATCTGTCTCTCTTTTTTTTAAATTGCTTTCAAAGAATGCAAACATCATTGAATTAAATACTCTCCCCAGTCTTGCTTAATGTATAAATAAGCAGTACTATGTTATAAACTTGGTAATATTTACCTGACTACAGTATGAAATTTAAGGATAAAGTCTTTTCATGCCCCACCCCCAACTATTTTCTTCTACTAGTCAGGCAGCGCTGATTATTACCTGCCCCAATATTCAGTGTCTTTCCACTTAATTCTCCCAAATGGCAGAACTAAGATTCAGTAGGCAATTTATTTCATTGTAAATTACTGTTTGGGTTTTTTTTTTTTCTTTCTTCTTTTTCTTTACATTGTTTGCTGTTTGCTGGAGGTAGTTACTCTTCCCTGATAGTAGGAATAATTGTGTAGGATTTCATGTATGTTCTATCTCTTTAGACATAATCAAGTTGAAATTAATCTTTTCCTTCTAGTTGACAGCATTAAATGTGTAGAAATGAGAGGTCTAGTGTGATAATTACTAAGGTAAAGAGGGGTCCTTCCTCTATGTCCCTCAATAGCTAGATTTTCCCATAATTTTGTATTCTACTACAACTGCTTGGTTCTCCAAGCTGGGTCTTTTAGTTATATGAAGAAATTCGGTTTTTGTGTATTTTAGATTAAGGAATCTTTACCTAGGGTCAGTAGATTCCCAGTAGTGTAATAAGAATTTTATGATCCGGGTGGTGGTGGTGCATGCCTTTGATTCTAGCATTTGGGAGGCAGAGGCAGGTGGACCTCTGTGAGTATGAGGTCAACCTCTTCTACAAAGAGAGTTCCAGGATGGCCAGAGTTGTTACACAGAGAAACCCTCTCTTGAAAAACCAAACCAAACAAACGTAAATAAAATAAAAAATAATTCTAAGAATTAAGCACTTCAATCACAGTTACAGGAAACAATCCACAGCAGCATTAGTATCCATATGAAATTACTTTTTGGAGTGTGGGGGGTGGCTGGGCATAAAACCAGGGCCTTTGTAAATGCTATGTAAACATTATCAATTAATTAATTAAATACTCGGCCCGGTTTTGGCGTTTACTATACAAATAAATAATACAAGTTTATTTTAGTAAAGTCTCGGGATTGTATTTAAACCTAATTGAGGTGTAATTCATAAACAAGCAGACGAGGTGGAGGGCATCCAAGGACTTCTCTAGACTTACATAAGGTCTACATCGCGCACGCACGCACACACGCAGATTAAAAACCCTTAGATTCAAAGGCAATACCTAGGAAAAAGACATGCTTTCTTTCCTGGCGCTCCCCCTTAGACTCTAAGTTTATAGATTCTGGACTGCAACTCCCAGAAGGCGATGCGGCTTCAGGGCCTATCTCGAGGCGTGACAATAACCTATCCAATAAATGGTCACTTGCACTGTCCCCTGACAGCAAGAGAATCTCGACAAGAACGGCGGCTTTTTCTTCCTTGCTTATTATGAGCACCAAGTAATTGCTGGAATCTGTAGTTGTTTCGTATACCTTTGGGTACTGTTTATGAAGGTGGGCTCGATAAACAGCCGACAATGCACACACGTGTCCCCTACACCCGCCCGTACGCGGTCCATTCCCGGAGCACGCGAGGGCGGAAGTGGTGATGGCCGGCGCGGCCGGAAGTTAGGATCAGCTGATGGGGGAGGCGGCGCCGCAGCCGCCTAGAGGCCCTGGCCGCCCAGCGCTTCGTCCGGGCCTCGAGTCTCGCAGACTGGCCACAATCCCCGCTTGCACCTCGCTGTTGGGTGAGGCCTGGCCCGGTGTCCCTCCCAGGCCCGAGATCCTCGCCCGGCACGGCCGCCCTGAGCGCCCCGGCCACCCCCAGCCCCGGCTCGCCCCTCAGGCCCCGGGCCTCCCCTCAGTCCCCGGCCGGCGGCTCAGGCCCCGGATCCGCGGGGGGAGACCCGGCCCCGGGGGGTGCGGGCCCCATGGAGCTGATGTTCGCGGAGTGGGAGGACGGCGAGCGCTTCTCATTCGAGGATTCCGACCGCTTTGAGGAGGATTCACTCTGTTCGTTCATCTCCGAGGCCGAGAGCCTTTGCCAGAACTGGCGAGGATGGCGCAAACAGTCAGCGGGGCCCAATTCCCCCACTGGAGGCGGTGGCGGAGGTGGCAATGGCGGTACCAGAATGCGAGGTGAGGGTGAGCAGGGAAGGCTGCCAACCGGAGGGGAGCAGGCAAACCCGGCTTGGGCCTTGCTTGGGAGCTGTCCGGACCGGGAGCTGTCCCTAGCTTAGAGCAGACTTCAGGACTCGCTTTTCTGGCCTTCCTGGGCTGGGGTGGCATCATCACAGTAGAGAGAGGAGAGAGAAAGGGGCGGTACTGGAGAATGGAGAAAACGAGAAAGAAGGAGAGATGAGGAAGGAGGGAGGGAGGGAGAAGGGGGAGGGAGAAGAGAGAAAAAGAGAGAGGGTGAGAGAGGGAGAGAATGAGAAGAACGAACCCCGGTGCTCATTCGCGCGCGTTCACACAAGCTTGTGTTGTGACAGAGAACATCCTGGGTTGGCCCGAAAGATCTTTTGTTATTCTTTTACGATTTAGAGGTCGAATGTAGGAGAATAACCCTTCTCTGTTTTAAGGATGTTTAACGGAATTTGTCCTTTAGTAAACCAGAACTAGGCAGAAGAGAATGTGATTAGGTGTCGATGGTGAAAAAGTTACCACATGAGATGTGTCACTCTGTGGGAGGGTGCATTGGCTGCTTTGCTTTCAGGATGTTGATTTCTCCTCATAAGCTGCACCAAGAAAGGATTCCACCAAGAGGAAAGTGGAAGTGAACTTGCCTATGAGAGTAGTTGCCATAATTCATAGGGTTAAACCCGAGGTTTGCTTCTGGCATCTGTCAGAAGCCAAGGCTGGGACCAGAGGGTGGGAGCCTTGGACTTCCATATGTGAGGTCTGAGCAGGAGGGTGAATAGTTATCTTCCAGATTTCCTCATGGATTGTCTTTGTGTTTCATTCATTCTTGGTCTTCCAGTGAAGTTAAGAAGAACTAGTGCAGTGAAGAATTTTGCTTTGTTAGAGGGAATAGAAAGGAGAATGAAGACAGAGAAGCTTCACAGGCTTAGGGATCATCACATCTTTCCCTTGCTCTGCACAAAGCAGTTGTTGTCTTGGGCCTCATTGGATTCTGGCTTTCTTCAGTAGTTGAAAGGACTAACTTATGTGTTCTAGGCAGGCCATTCCAAAAGATCTGTTCTGCAAGTGCCCCTTTAGGATGGAGAGAAATTTGCTTATGTCACTTTTTAGGTGTGGTAGTACTCAGCTTCGGTTGGAGAGATATCACTTGTCTGTGAATGTATGCACACATACACGCACAGGTCACAAGCAGCTTCAATGTGAATCTTTTGACAGTGTGGGTTGGTTGGGGGTTTCAAGTTCTCTCACTCTGCAAGTAATTAAAATCATGGTAGCGAGATTTTCAATATATTGATACCCTCCTGTATAGGTGGGTATCTTTTCCCTTTTTCTTCCCTCCCTTCCTTCCTGCCTTCCTCCTGAGAATCTAGGCAGATCTTGATCCTCCTGTCACAGCCTTCCAAACCTGGCCTGAATATACCATTTCTACCCCATGCCCTCCTCAGCCACCATCACCCATCAAGAATTTTTTTTTTTTTGATCAGTGTTTTAATATAGCCATTCGTTGTGCGTTCTGCAGTCTGAGTCTGCTAATATTGTTTTTTGTTGTTGTTAAAACAGTGTAGAAAAACCCCTATCCTACTCCAGGTGATTCAGGAGCAACAACAGCCAGGTGCCCTGGGATAACTATCTCCCACTGGCTACCAGGATCAGAAGTCAGTCTTTAGGTGCTAAAAGGCCCTGTAGGCTCTTCAGCTTCTTGAGGTCCCTAAGTAATTATTCTGACTTCTCAATCATCTTCCTTTCTTAGATGGGGGCCTGCAGTCATTTAGAGACGGTGATAAGTAGAAAGGTAATCATATGTGAATGCCAAAGACACAGTACA